ATTTAGGGAAACTACCACATGACTTTTGCCAAAATCTTTGGCGGACAGTGAAGCTTCTGGATCTGACCCGGCACATTTTTGTTCTGCGGCACCCAGCATCGGAGCTGGAAGCAGGTCTCGCTGCATGTTGTACTGCTGTGCAGCCTCATTCAACAAATTCAAAGTGTGAGGAATCATGCAGGTTCGCCATCTCGGCTGCACATGCATTGTACCCACATGCATGGAATTCACGTTGCGGAGACGATGTCAGGGGAATTCTGCAGTGAGTTATGTGTAGGGTTGCTGCCCATGGCCTCCGCAGCATGTGTGCTAGCTTGCAAGGCTCGAGTGAGCACAGAAGTAAGCTGCTAGAGGTTTGGGTTTTGACATTCGACTTTATGGATTCCATGCTATATAGAGCAAGCAGTCCATGTATCATGCATGGTAATCAGTTTTGCTGCAAACTGACAGATCTCGGGATCACGATTCAGTACCTTCTTGATCGCATCTGTCAAGCCCGTGCCGCGATCAGCACTATCCCTGCTGTGAAGGCTCTTCTGGCTAGGAAGGCCTGTGGCCAAATTGCAGCACTGCGACACCTTCTGTCTGTTGAAGTCCTCGGGATGCGCGTTCTAAGATTCTAAGCAACAGAGTGGGGCTTGGCCTGAACCGACGAGAACTTGTCACAGTAGTGCAGACGGCCGGGGCGCTGTCGAAGTCATTCATTANNNAAGGAAGTCAGGGCCTGGGAGTCAGGAAACACGAGGGCGAAAGCCGGGAAATGTACAGGGCAGGAGTCAGGAACCATAAAGGAGGGAGCCGGGAACCATGGAACCATGCTCTTAGTCGAGCATGTAAATTTTCATGAGTTTTTTTTTGCACAGAAACTACATCCCTAAAACTCACAAACCATGCATGCTGAACCCTAGACCCCATGTCAACCCTAGAACCCTGATGCCCTTAACCCTGAACCACTCAGACCACAAGCTCTCAAGCAGTGGTAGAAAATCACCTGTGAGAAACTACAAACGCTTTGGGTGGGTGGGGGGTCTGTGGGCTAATCTCGTTTTAGGTTCAATTATTAGGATTCAGCAGGGGGTCTCCTCCAAGAGCTAAGTCCTTACAGCAGTTCACATTGCTGTTCCATTTTGTGATATAAGGGTCTAGGGATTAGGGATTGATTAGGATAAGGTGGACACCCCACCCAGTAATAGTGACTTTAAGGGACTATAAGAAGAATATTAGGGTCGTAATATTAGGGTCGTATTATATTTGTATTATACCCCCCCCCCCCCTTCTACAGGGTGGGGGGTCCTCTGAAGTGATAAAAGTTTACGGATTAGGGCTTAGGGATTAGGACTCCCAAGTGAGATATGGCCATTTGGCTCTGGTCTAGGGTCTACTTAGAGTAACCGATGTGCCCATTGAAAGAGGGCTTTGTACCTGATATTTGTGAGACTTAGGTTTCTCTAGGTAGGGCTTATATGCAGTTTAGGCTTTGGGGCTCCACGGGGTAGCCTGCAGGGTTGAAACTCCTTAAGGTTACAGTTATATGTATACATGAATATACAGCCGGGTTAAAGGTCTGTGGGATTCAGGGTCCACGGTGGACTACGCAGGGTTGTGGGTGATGTTGGTGATCATATGTTTCCAAAACTTTGATTTGTGTAGCAGTCAGGATGCTTATAGTTCTGATGAAAAGTAACTTCGGATTCCACTAGAGATTCTGCATGTTTCTGCTTGCCTTGCTACACGCACACACGCAGGCAACATGAAACAGTTGTAGGTATCCAAGCTACTGAGGGAAGTCATGAAAGATTGCCTTTGGCAAATCATGCGGTAGTGCAACAGCGAAAAGGTGTTCTCGACAGTGACCTTATCTTGGGGAATGCCTCCACATGAACAGTCCACCAACACGATAATCACGATATTGGGGTAGGAAACATCATGAACAGTTTCTTGACGTTTCGTTCCATGTTTCCCGACTCTCGCCTCCGGTCCTTCCCGACTCCACCCCCCTTTTTTCCCCGACCCTAGCCCTTCTTCTTCCCGACTCTGACCTTCCTTAACACCCCAGACGGCCGTTAGTGAGAGACAACTTGCAGTTGGTGAGTTTCAGGGAGGGTGCGAAAATTTGGGCACAGCTGCAGCCGCAGCGCGCCGGGTGTTAGGGCTGAGCCTTGGAGCAGCAGCAAGGTCAAGCTTTTTTGGCAATGTCAAGGATCTTCGAGGAAGCTGGAGCTGCTGCTTTGAGCCGCTGCAGTTCCTCAGCCCGAGTGCGCTGGTTGTATGCGTACAACTGTACTGTTGCAGAGTGCACTTGCTTTCGTGAGGGCGTGCTGGAGCCGGGGGCATGCTAGAAATGCTAGGGGTTCTCTTTTGAGGGTGCAGATCCGCTGTTTTCCCAAGAGGCATATGCTCCAGACCTTGCATCGAGCGCTGCAGCATACCGCTGGAAGGGGGCCTCTCTCACTTCCCAATGCCCACTTCAGCGGCTTCGCTTGTTTTCCCCGATGGGTTTACATTCACCGCACGTCGACTGATGGCCCACTGTTAGTCTCAGACTGTCTCAGATTGGAGGGTGCAGGACAAACGTTCTTCGAGCTGCCTTGCGGGGCTTCTCTCTCCTCCGACATATTCCGTTATTCGCAGAAAACGCAGCATCCCTGTGAGATCTTGCGAAGCAGAGGTAGAGGGCAGAAGACAAGGCCCAAGCTCAAAGCTCCTGCTGCCATTTGGGGCTCGAAAGTTAACCAAGGGCTCGCTTGGCCTACGCTGGGGCCATAGCAATCTGCGTTGCTGGGAGAACTGACGGGTCGCTCGGTTTGTGCGTGGGTGCTCGAGGTCTCCCTTGCTTGCTTCGCTTTTGCTTTGCTCAGCTGGCCACAGACAGGGGTCTGAGACTGAGCTGAAGTAAATGATTAGCTTGCAGCCAGTTTTTCCCGCAGGATGGCCCCAAGAGGGCGTGAGGGCAAGGAGAGTGCCTGGGTCGTGAGCTGAGCTTCGGGATTTTTCGGTGCAACATGTGAAAGCTGAGTCCTCCCAGGTGAAGAAAGCTCCAGCGGGAGCAGCTCCCGTGACTTCCTGAGTCAAGCGAGTGAGGGTGTTCAGGCAGCGTCTGGAGCCAAGCACGTTTGAAGGAAAAAGCGAAAGAGCCCGAGAACGGAGAGGACAGAGAAGGAGCTGGGACCGGCAAGGGCAGGCCAGGGAGCTGCAGCTAGAGACGATGTGAGTTTCCGTGTGAGTTTCGTGTTTCTGGTTAGGGAAGGAGGAAAGGGCAAAGG